ATCGTCTTGCTTGAGCAAAGACTTCTTTGAGGTGAGCGGCATGGTCGGTATCTGCTCGGTATTTGACGATCATGTCGTCCATATACACCTCTAGCATGTCCCCTATTTGGTTGTGGAACACTTTGTTCATCATACGTTGGTATGTTACTCCTGCGTTTTTTAGACCAAAGGGCATCACGTTGTAGTAATAGTTTCCCGAGCTGGTCATGAAAGCAGTGCAATGCTTGTCGCTTAAAGCCATTGGGATTTGGTTATAGCCTGAATAGGCATCCATAAACGACAATATTTTATAATCGGCCAAGTTGTCGACCATCATATCTATGTTGGGTAGAGGAAATGCATCTTTCGGGCATGCCCGATTGAGATCAGTATAATCAACACACATTCGCCACTTTCCATTATTCTTTTTGACTAGTACAACATTTGACAGCCAGGTTGAATACCGGGCTTCAGAAATAAAATTTGCCTCTAGGAGGTCTTTTACAGCTTTTTCAGCAGCCTCCGTTTTCTCCGGAGACTGCCTACGCCTACGTTGTACTACTGCCCTAGAGGCTAGATCTATGGCAAGGCGGTGACAAGCGACCTCGGAGTCGAGTCCGGGCATCTCTGCGGCGCTCCATGCGAATAAGTCCGCATTCTCGCGCAAACAGGCTTTGATTTGCTTCCTCGCCGAGTCGGGAAGGCCGGTGCCGATCTTTACTCCTTTGGTCGCGTCCTCGCCAAGAGGGACGAGTTTGAAGTCCCCGTCCGGAATTGGTCGAAGGGGGACTTGCTCGCCCCTGGGAGGCTCATCCTGGTCGAAGCAGGTGTCCAGGGCTATCGAGTCGACCTTTAGGGGAGATCTCTGCTCTTCTTCTACCTTGACGGGCTCTGTCTTCTGATGCTCTGGTTGTGTCGTTGAAACTCTCTTGGCGGTCCTTGTACCGGTGTCGACCGTATCGCATCCTTAGATGCCGCGTTGAAATGCCTTCGGGAAGCTGCCAGGTCCCCTTGGATGGTGGCGACCCGTGCCCTCTTGGTGTAAAACTTCATTTTCAAGTGGACGGTAGAGGGTACCGCGGTCAGCTCTGCCAATGTTGGCGTTCCCAGAATGCAGTTGTAGAGTGAAGGGAAGTCAATGACGAGGAAGCGCACCTTGACCTGCCTCGTTGCTGTATCCTCGCCAAACGTAACCATGAGCTCGACGTGTCCCCAAGGTTTGGAAGTCGAGTCGTTAAAGACCTACAGGTCTGACCCCACATAAGGTGAGAGGTGCGAGTCGTCGAGCTGCAGGGTTCGAAATAGTTGGCTGTACATTACGTCGATGGAACTTCCTTCATCGACAAGGATGCGATGTACGTCAAAGTTGGCCATTCTCGCTCTTATCAGCAGAGGAATGACCGTGTTGGGGGCCCCTCCAGGGAGCTCTTCGAGGTAAAAGCTGATAGGCTCTGATCTACCCTTCACCCTTTCAAAGGTCACCGTCTGAGGAGGTGTGGTGTCGACCAATTCATCCAGCTTCCTCTTGGCTGAATTTATGGTCAGGTCGTTGAACCATCCACCATTGATGACCATGGAAGAGGGAAATTGCTCCCATATGTTGTGCGTTGACAGCGGCTCTTGCAAGTTTTCAGGGACGTAAAAGTCCTCGGGTCTGGTGACGGAGAAGGCGGTCTGGATGGGGACCGACTCGTCAGATGGTCGGGCATCCTCCTCTGCTTCTCTTGTCTCACGGGCGTCGCGACGAGGAGCGTAGTTTCGCCGGTACTGGGCGAGTCTCCCCCCTTTTATGAGGGTCTCGATGGTGTCCTTGAGGTGGACGCAGTCTTCCGTCAGATGGCCATGGCTCCTATGGTACTGACAGTATTTGCTCCTGTCCACCCCGGGCTTGGCAGGAGCTGGTCGGGGGCGCTTGACGCTGTCATCTTTGAAATCTGTATTGGCACACTCCACCAAGATGCGCTTGCGGGAAGCCGTGAGCGGAGTGTACTCTGTGAAATGCCCTGAGGGTCCTCTCTGTTCTCGGACGTCCCGGGGTTTGTTGTCTTTTCTTTTCTCCCCGGTTCGTCGAGGGGGAATGGCTTCTTGGTGCGGGTTGCTGCTGGATCCGCGAGTCCTGAGGTCACGGGCTCTGTTGGCCGCTTCCCTTTCCTCGTAGTCCATGTAGGCCCTGGCCTTCTCGAGGAGAGCATCAAACGTTTGGGGTGGTTCGATGCCCATTGCTTTCCTGAACTCTGTGCCGGGGAGGAGCCCCCTCTCCAGCAGGTATCTTTTAATGTGGTCCGCGCAGGGGACCTGGATGGCTTCACGGTTAAAGCGGTTGATAAATTCTCTCAAGGTCTCATCCTGCCTCTGGACGATGGCCTCGAGCGCTGCTTCGATCTTTGGATGTCGCCGTGATGCGGTGAACGAGCTTATGAATTGGTTTTTCAAGTTTCGCCACGAGGTGATTGACCCCGGGGCAAGACCCTTGTACCAATCCATTTCCGCTTTCCTGAGGGTTGTGGGGAACAACCGGAATTTGATGGGTCCCCTAACGTTATGGTAGTGCAACATAGCCTCGAATCCGTCTATGTGATCGACCGGGTCGGCGACTCCATCATATTCTTTCAGATGAGGAGGCTTCTCCATGCCCGGGGGGATGGGTGCCTCCATGATGGCTTGTGATAGGGGACCGCGGGGGTCGTCCTTATCACTTTGCTCTGGGGAGAGGGACGGGGACCTGAGGTATTGTCAGGCACGACGGCCCTGATCGTGCTGGGCGTTCCTCGAGCGGTGCGCTCGTTGACACGTCCCTTCGTGCCTGTCTCCAGGATGCCTTCGTTCTTGCCGTGAAAGGCCGTGGTCGCACCCTCCGGCTTCAATGATTGGCTCTCTCTCCAAGGCGGGTCGTCTCCCCGGTGGTTGGGGTGACGAGCTTCAGAAGATGTCTCTGTCTTGTCTCCGCGGGGGAGATCGGAGACGTTCCTCCGTTCTACGAGGAGGTGGGGATTGAGGCCTCCTGTGTCTCCTCGGGGGCCTTCTGTCCTCCTCCAGTGCTCCCAGTCTTTCCCCTTGGGCAAAGATGAGGAGTTGGCCTGGTTGATTGCCGCGAATAGTGCCCTGGTCGTGGCGTCTGCCCCAGCGGGGACAGGAACTTCATGGAATTGAGTGGCTTGATGGTTCGGGGGAACCGTATTATCTTCTTGGAGTCGAAGGGGGACTGACGAAGACGAAGTAGTGGCTCCATCCTGGTAGTTGGAGATTCCGGGGATGTTGCCACCGAGAGCAGTAACATGCGCTGTGACGCTGACGTTGTTATCGGCGAGGTTATTGTAGGCTTCGACGACACGGGCGTTCTGATTGTCTTGAATCTGGTCAGCCATGACGGTGGAAGATGGTTTTAGCTTTTGGTCTTTGAAGGTTTGTAAGACGGGGAAGCTTTGATTCCCACAGACGGCGCCACTGATCTCACCGGATCAATATTGGACTGTCACAACTGGCTCGAACTGGATTTTGAATGAGATGGGGGGAGGGGGTACCTGCAAGACACTCCGATGATAAAATGAGAGACGGAATGGGCAGGCAAATAGTATATAGGTGCGTAACGAATGAATACCCGACCCTCTTGGAAAGAGGGTATTTATAGCCCCCAGCGCTGGGGCAAGGTCCCTTTATTGGACCGACCAGAGATGGCCCAACAAAGAGACTGTCAGGTTCTACGTGTGTAGTGGGGACCCGCACGTGGTCCCCTTCCTGGATGGTGCTCTGCGAAGAATGAGGAAGAATGAAGACGCGGTCTTTTCGAAGCTCTAAGGATTCCGCAGCATTCGGAGGGGGTTAAGTCTGCCCTACGGGGAGGATGCTCGAGCAAGGCTCGAGTTGGAGTACCCTAGATCGGAGACTCTGCTCGCTGCGGACAGCGGCGGACATAACCGTTGTGGCCTGTGACTGAGTATGCTCGGGGTGGTCTGATTCCGAGCATAGCTCGAGAAATTGCTTGGATCTAGGCCTTTACTTATATTTTGGGCTAAGACAAGCCCAGTCCAAAACAATAACTCTCCCATATTTTATCAACTAAATTAAAAAATATATTTATAATGAATTTAACAAATTTATTATTAAATTAATTTTTTTGAAACTTTTTCTTTCAAAATTATTAATATCTAAAGTTTTATCTTTTGGTCATTTGATTTTTAAACTGACTCCATATTTTAATTGTAAATTACTTGAAATTTATTCCTTTGTGAAAATAGAATTATGGATGAATTGTGAATGAGGACTATTGATATAGATTTCTCATGATGTAATCTAAAGAAATTAACACTTTAATATCTAAATTATTAATATTAAAAAAAGTAGAGTGAATTACCGTTAAAATTATATTTTCAATTATACTCATATTTGATTTATATATGGTTGATGATAATTGAATTTATACAGTATTTGAGTTTATGACCGACGCATAACAAAATTATTAATTTATATAATTATATGCAGAAATTTATTTCCTACATATTTCTTATCTCATTAACTTTCTAATAAAAAAAACCCAAATTTTAATACTAAATATACCAATAGTAGTATTTCTCAAACAAAAAAAATTGTAAATTATTTTTAATGCAAATGAATTAGAACAAAATGTTGCTTTGCCAGTGAAACATGCACGTATAAGTCAAACCCATGTGATAATGTTTGATCACATCTCAACCATCCGATTGATTCAAAAAATAAATCACAACCGTTAAAAAATCATGTCACCTTGTTAGGTAGGACCCATCCCAAAGTACTAGTATTATGTAGAATGTCTCGTGAATTTAGAAAGTAACATTTATAAATTCAATTTCATAATGTCCAATCACAACTTTTTCTTCATCTCTCTAAAGGCTCCTTCTATTTATTTCTATCAAACTTGTCGATTTATTTTTATTAACTTCTATATAACCTTTCCCTATAATAATTCATATGTTATATAGTACCAAAGTTCTGACACATAAATCTTAAAAAAAACATTTAAAAGAGGTTAATCGAAGAAAGTGCACATGGGAAGACACTCGTGTTGCTACAAGCAGAAGCTTCGTAAAGGTCTTTGGTCACCAGAAGAAGATGAAAAGCTTTTGAATTATATCACCAAACATGGTCATGGATGTTGGAGTTCTGTTCCAAAACTAGCTGGTACTACTACACTATATCTTAATTTTATATAGTTTCATACTTTAAGAATAAATTTTAATTTCTAACTTTGTTATTAATAATGTCAGGTTTGCATAGATGCGGTAAGAGTTGTAGATTGAGATGGATAAATTACCTTAGACCTGATTTGAAAAGAGGAGCATTCTCTCAAGAAGAAGAAAATTCTATAATTGAACTGCATGCACTTCTCGGCAACAGGTGTGTAATTCATAACATACTGTCTGTTTTTATTTTTAACGAATCAAAACGACAAGGGCTGAACTAAACTGAATTCTATATATGGTTAACAGGTGGTCGCAGATTGCAGCTCAGTTACCTGGAAGAACTGATAATGAGATAAAGAATCTATGGAATTCAAATTTGAAGAAGAAGCTGAAACAAAAAGGAATTGATCCAAACACACATCAACCAATCTCTGAAATAGTTGAAAACAGTGACAAGGAGAAGCAAGTTGAGGGTGAGAAAAGCAATAATCAGACTCAGAAAAGCTCTGTTGGATCCAATGAAGTGAATCTTTTTGAAACATCAAAGGAAAATTCAATTCCTATGGGTAATAACTGTAATTATCCACTTGAAATGAATTCTTCAACTATTTCAAATATGGTTGGATTAGGAGGATCATCATCATCAGCATATCTCTCTTTTCAACAACTTAACTATGGAATCAATTCACCAAATTCCAACAACACCAATTCATCACTTTGTTTCATACCAAGTACTAGTGCCGGTTCAACTTCCATGTCAGAACTCAATTCCTCAACCATGTTCCAATCTATTCACAACTGGGAATTCAGTAACAACAACAACAACCAAACCAACAACAACAGCAACAACAACAATAACTTCATTGATCATGATCATAATCAAGTAATAGAAGACATTAAATGGTCTGAATATCTAAACACTACTCCATTTTTTCTCGGAAACAACAACAACAGCAACAACAACAACGACAACACAATTCAACAGCATCATAGTACAACAATCTACAGTGATGATGTGATTAAACAAGAAATGAGATTCATTCATAATTCAGATATATATAGCAACAACAACAAAGATTTTCAGAGATTTTCACTCGCTTTTGAACAGACACTTTAGTTTCAAACAAAAGACAGAGAGAGATCGATGCCGACATTTCCAACGTGAATTTTGGTCAGAAACATGTCGTTACTTCTGACTACAGGTGTGTGCTGTAAATTTTTCTATTTTTCGTTTTAAATTTTAAGTTTTTTAATAGTGATATTGTAAATGTGTCTGATACAAGAAAAAAAAATCTCAGAAATCAGCATTATGTTACAGTATAGTAATATTTATCATTTCTTAAATTAAAGCATCTTTCAATTTATCATTTTGTTCATTAAACAAATAAGACTTGTTTTAGATATTCTATTCTTCTTACTCTCTTTATCTATCTCTCTTAATTTTAATTATGGTTTAATTATTAATCATATGATCATAAATAACACCTACACCTATGAAAAAAAATGCATATTAGTATTGCTTTCATATTCATATTGAACGCCACATTGATACTTATATTTATGTTTAACTTAATTATTTTTTAAAAATTATTATTAATATTGTTGTATCTATATCGATCTCGTAAGTCTCCGTATCAATATAGTATTAAAGATGTACGTGTTTTTTAGTATCTGTATCGGTATCGTGTTAGAGGCATATGAGATTTATAAATATAGACTAATATTTAAAAAATTGTTCAAATAGTGATGTAATTCATTTGAGAAAATATAAGAAAAAGTGAATGAGTTGAGTTTTAAAATACGTTTTCTTTTAACAAAAAGAATTTTTTCGAACTTCTACTTCGAGAAACCGACACTAATTGAAGTTGAAATTAGAGATAGTTTTCAAATACTTGACTATCACATGATCCCTTTGAAATTTTGAGAATCCAGTGATGTTATTTTCTGTGTATCAAAAGGTAATAAGGTAGTACCATTTTTCTTAAATGTGTGTGTGTTATTTTCTCATAGGATAAAGATTGTTTTCACTTTTGGACACATTTGAGCTCAATTCACTTTCCAGTAAATGGCCATAGATAAGAAAATAATAGTATATTTTTCATGTGGTAATGTTTTGTAAGCAATCAGTTGCTGTTTAATTGAATTTTTTAATACCCATGAGCTGAATGATGATGGATTAATTTGATTCTATTATGTAGGACAAAAAGCTCCAAGAAAATTAAATAAAATAATAATTATGGCATGCCACCGACTAATTCAGTGCATAAACGCCACAAAAAAGTTTGTTTAAAATAATTTATTTAATGTTAACATGGGGACAAGAATTAAGAAGCCAAATTGAAAATAAAAAATGAGTATGAAATGGACGCCTCCTTCCTTAATTTAGACACAATGATATTTTTTACAAGATTAAGAAAAGTACTAATCTCATAATATTTTAGAATTAAATGTATTTTTGTTTTTATAAAATATTAAATTTGATTTTTAGTCTTTATAGTTTTAATTCCTGTAGAAGAACTAAAATATCATATATATATATATATATATATATATATATATATATATATATATATATATATATATATATATATATAATTTTAAAGGAGTTAAAACATAATATATTTTTACTATAAGAAAAAGAATTTTTAAAGATATAAATTAGTGACGTGATAAGCACGTGGTACAAAATATTTATAACGTGTTTATCATATCACTATAACTTTTAAATATTAAAGTAATAAGTCACAAAAGGAGTCTGATTTTTAAAATAAATAAAAAAGTTGTGCCGTTAAATCACGTCGCAATAAAATTATTAAAATAAAAAATTAAAACAGGATGGAGAGAGAATTTTGAAAATTTTAAAAAGTATGTTATGACGTGTTTTTCACGTCACAAATTTTTTAAGAGGGAAACTGGCTGACATTGAAGTGATGCGTTATGAACGGTCTGCAAGTTGACTGACTCAAATTAGGACTGTTGGTGTTTGTGACGTGATTTTCATGTGGCAAAGTTGCAACGTGAAAATCACCTCACTACTTTAATTATATATTTTCAATTTCGTTTCTTCCAAAAATCACGTTATTTTAATTATGGTTGTTGGTGTTTATGACGTGATTTTTATGTGGTAAAGTTGTGACATGAAAATCACGTCACTAATTTAATTATATATTTTCAATTTCGTTTCTTCCAGAACTCATCCTCTTGTCTTCTCTCTTCTTCTCAAATATGTAACTTTCTCATTGTCTTCTTCCTCCACCCACCACTTTATTCATTGTCTATTTCGTCCACCCTATTTTATTCAATCTTCAAGAGTACAAATCTCTTTCGTATTTTTATATTTATTTTTGTTTTAAATTAATAACTAATTTCTGATCATATATTATGATTTTCATTTTTAAGGTGTATTTTTTTTCAAACTTCAAAAATTCAACAAGTTTGATTCAAGCTTATAGAGGTATTTTTATAATTTTTTTTTTATATTTTCATATTTTTCTATGTATTATTGTTGGGTTGTTGGTTGTTGATTGTTAATGTTTATTTAAAAATTATTTTTATGTTATAATTTTTATGTTATATTTATAATATATATATATATATATATATATATATATATATATATATATATATATATATATATATATATATATATATATATATATATATATATATATATATATATATATATATATATATATATATATATATATATATATATATATATATATATATATATATATATATATATATATATATATATATATATATATATATATATATATATATATATATATATATATATATATATATATATATATATATATATATATATATATATATATATATATATATATATATATATATATATATATATATATATATATATATATATATATATATATATATATATATATATATATATATATATATATATATATATATATATATATATATATATATATATATATATATATATATATATATGTTATGTTATAATTTTTAAAAACATAATATCTTAGTATATGTTAGTCTATGTTATGCTTATGGTTGGCTGTTTAATGACGATACAATTAAGGTTGGTTTCAGAGTATGTGAGGCTCCCGGCCAGTGTGGTATCAGAGCCTCAACGGAAAGAAGGGGTACATATGGCATGAATATAATAAATAGAGTAAGTAAGGGAGAAAAATATTTAACCATGACGCTATCACAACAAAACACTCATCCTATTACCACCACCTCTTCCCTATCATTTCCTAAACTTTGTAAAAAGACTGATACCCATAAAATAGAAAACCTTGTTGAGTATTCTTATGTTCCAGAAGATGCTCAAATTGCGGAAACAATACCTCCCAGTTTAAGCCCTTATAATATCTTCAAAAAACAAAGAACAATTACCGGATCCATCAGAAACCTAATCTCTACCAATCTCCCTCATATAAAAGAGTACGTCCAGTCATCTCGACTAGACCAATGTAGTTCGAAAGCTACAACCTAAGAGCAGTATGTGGATTTAGAGATTCCTCAGAGTCTCATAAATCACTGGAAATCTGAAGGATACATAGCTTCACATTTTGGAACAGTTAGACTCATGCTCTCTCTCTCCATGAAAGAAAAAATCAGCCCGTCTTCTGCAAAATAGCTCTCCTAGATTCGAGTTATCTCCATTATGAAAGTGCTGTCATAGAGACTGTTCTAACCTCACTTCATGAAGGAAGCGTTGTTCTTACTGTTTTTCCAAATTATAATGTAAGCCTCAACGACAGCACCCTATCTACAAGACTAAAGGTCCAAGTTCAAATCACTGGATCTGACCAAGTTCCAGAGGCCATGTCTGCTACTCTCCATCACCAAATAATCTATCGCCTACAAAATCATTCGATAGATTTGCCTCTCACGGGATGTTCTTCTGATTCTCTGTTAGTAGTTACTAATAGAGAAGGAGATATACCCTCTATTGTTTAGATTCCAAGAAAGATCATAAGGGAAGAACTAACTCAGTTAATTCCTCTTGAGTGGATAACAAACTATGGAAAAATCCATCAAGATAGAAGACAAATACAATCTCAAGAGACCACCTTTAGAAGATCTATTGACAAAACGGTCAAAACAATTTTCAAAAAACCAGATGAAGGACCGAGTTCAATTTCTCCTATTTTACAGACCATGATGATCTGACCGATTCTTAAAGAAGATTGGTGCCTAATTCATACTACAACTAGTAAAGGAGAACCTATCTATATTGACAAGATAAATGGTCGTTTTATTTGAGACGTAGATCCCAATAAATGTGACCCAGGATGTGAATGTTGGTTGCACGATAATGATTATGACAGAGATATTATCCTTCTGAAAAGAAAAAACAACGGGGCGTGAAAACCATCTCCTCCTCCACAAAGAAGACATGATCCTGATAACGGTCCATGGGTAGGTATCTATGACCGGTGGGAATGAGAACTGACTGTTTTTTAATGCTGCTTCGCGTTTGCGTTTGTTTCTGCAAAGTGTCGCGGTAAGCAAGAGTCGCCGCCGTCTTTTATTTTATCGAACAAGGGAAAGGACAAAAGCACAGAAAAATTCCTTTTCGAGATTTTTCTCGGGTTCGGGAGGTAGATTATAGAAAGGGAAGGTGTTAGCACCCTTTCTATCCGTGGTTATCCACGGGCTCTTAGGTACTTGCTCACTATGTTTTCAAAAGGTTTGCTTTTCTTTGTGATTGTGGGTTTTGAAAAAGAGATTTGTTTTTGAAGAAAGTGTAAGTGCGAAAAGTTTTATTTTGTTTTTAAAATGAGCAAGTACTTAAGAACATCTACCTACTCAAAAAGGAATTAAATTGTGCAAACGTCCTTTAGACAGTGCTATCCCACTATTGAAAAGTAGGTAGCACCGTCGTTGGAGTTTTTCGGGTCAATTCGATTTTAGGGACGTGTGGTCACTAAAGAAACGTTAGGACGCTTTAGTGGTAGTCCTAATGTCTTAGATCATTTTTTATCGAGGCAACCATTTTGAGGCAACTTTGATCTTTTGGACAGAAGGATGACCTCTAAAACATCCTATACTTAACAACCACAATTGAGGCAACCAAATGAGGTATACCCTAGGAGTGGCATGTGCAAGTGTGTC